GAAAAACTTTTTACCCCATGAGGTGGTGAAGTCACAACTGGTGGTTAAGGGAACTGGAGGCCTTTGAAGAACTGGAGGTTTAGGACACTTGAGGAGCAAAACCCCACTGTTCTGTCCTAACAGCGTCATCATATGTCCGTTTCTGATCTTACAGATTAATACCAGGGATGACGGTAGAAAAACAGATGTACCATAGCAACTGTTGCTAGGTTGGCCAAGCTTCATAGAGCGCTGGTAACTGTAGAGAATTCTTTGAGTGTTCAGTGTGTCGTTCTTTAGCTTCCATTCTTTTCAGGAGACTCACTTTCAGCTCCTCAAAGAATCTGCAGACACACCTCCACAGTTCAGTCTTAGAAGCTGGTTGATGATTTTCTGAAGGAATCAAACACATTCAGTGGTGTTGAGGTCTGGACTCTGGGGTGGTCAGTCCACTGTTCTGAGAACAGCAGCGGCTTCTTTTCATGAGGACATCTCGATCTTCTCAGCGCTGTGTTTGAGGTCGTTTTCTTGTTGTAGAACGAATTTCCTCCCATTTGTTTGTTGGTATCAGAATTTCTAATCCTAAATCACTGATTCCATGTGTTGTTATAGATTATAGATCCCCAAACTTGCACTGATCCCCCATCATGTTTGGCTGGTGGTTAAAATGCTGTTGTAGTCCAGTCATTTGATGCTTTGGTTGTGTATTATGCTCAGTGTTCGAGCCTTTTGTGTAATTTTCTGAAAAAAAGCTTAATATTTAATGGCCATTTTAACAAGTAATCACATAAATGAATGGATGCTCTCTAATTTTGGCGCAGTGCTGTAGATCACCAGGGCTGGATATCGAAATGAAGTTGTCTCTATACTACATTCAGTACCAAACTTTAAATCCTAAGTGGTCAGTAAGCATGCTGGTTCCAGGATCTAGACTGCTGATTGGCTGTCTAAATCGCATTCTGTTAGCATGTTATTAAGAATAATCTTTAATTATTTATGAAGCACCTTTCATACATTAAACTGTAGCTCAAAGTGCCTTTACAGTAATAATAAAAAAGGGACTCTGTTAATAATAAATAGAAAATGATGGTGCACAAGGTTAAAAAGCAAAAATTGTAGACCAACACTAAAAGCAACTGAAAGAATAAACAGTTTAAACAGTTAATCATAATTAAAATAACAGAGAAAAAGAATAAATAAAATAAATAAATTAACAGAAATGTCAGGGCTTCTTTATTAGTCTGTACTAAATAAACTGTAATGTTTATTAAAAGGAGGACGATCCAAAACAGCAGAGTGAATACCGGACCAGGTCAAAAGCCAAAAGAACAAAACATGGTACATATGATCAGACACAGAGTCGTGAGTAAACAAGTGAGGGTCTAAACCAAAAAGCAAGCAAACCAGTAACCTTAACTGAATGGGATATCCAAAAAAACAACAACAGACAAAACGGGGTCATAACAGGAGAACAAACAAATAAGAGGTATGCAAAGTAGGCAGTATTTCACGAACAGGCAAGCATGTCGCTGCTGTCAGAACCAAACCTCATATCTCCAAAATGGCAACTTTACAGGAGAAGAAAATACATACTCTACCTTTATTGTAAGTCAATGGAACCAGACTTTTTCTCCCCAAGTAATTTTGGGTCGTTTCTTTTGGTTTATTCATCATGAAATTTACACACAATGTAAAGATCAACAGGCATTTTCAAATGCCATCAAATGGCTTCTGCCAGCAGCAATGTACGCAAGAAGTAACAGGTAAAAGCAATTAGAATTAAGGTGTCCGAGATCTGATTATTGGTGGATGATTGGCTGGCTGGGTCATGTGACTGACTAACGCATCTTGGGAGTCAGAGTCCGTAAGAGAATCGGAGTTTGTCTGAGAGCTGTTAAGTGTGACATCCAGCACCTGACACTCATTTCTGGTTTCAGTCCACCCACTTTTGGTTTATAATTTAAAAGAAGGTATCAAAAACATGTAGAAATGGGTATTGAACCTAGGGTATCAGTACTGCTACTGAAAACAAAAACCTTTGAATGATGCTCCCTGATGTAACAGCTATTTCGACTTCCGTCATCCGAGACTGTTGGTGAAATTCCCCCATCGCATTCTTGGCTTGGGTTATGTATGGCCGGAGCATGGAACGATGAAAAGTTGAAAGTGGAAATGGTTATGACTTCAATATTTTTCTCATTTATCAGCAGGAAAAACTTTCATTTGTCATTGTTGAACTGATTTTTTTTTTTCTAAACCCTGATGACAAATCCATTCTCCAACAAAAAAGCAGATCCGTGCCGCTTTGATGCATTACACCTGCATTTGTTTCAGCACCGCGTACGTGCCCCCAGAATGAGATAACTAAAGACGAAGGAAGAGGTGCCACTGGAGGTTAGCCGGGGGATTTCTCTCGGTGGGCAGACAGATTGCGCGGCGCTCGGAAGGCAAAGGTGCGGTGGTGAAAGATCTCCGGCAGATACGGCCTCTGTGGCAGCGCTATCTCCAGTGATTCATTCAACAGCGCCTCGTGCGTCCACTTTCAATCTTGGTGTCTCCTTGTAAATGGACCATGAAATCATGCCCTATGTTGGCCTCGTTGACGAATGTTACTCGGGAGAATTGAGTTTGGTTCCGTTTGTGCGCTCGTCTGTGTGCGAGAGAGAGTTGGGGAGGTTTGCGTCAGACGTGGAAATCTTTTTATATCAGGTTTATACAGTACAGCATAACAGAAATAGTCCTGCTTCGACTGAACGCGTCCCCCAAAAAGTCGTCTGAAGCCACATCAATGTAAGACACAAGGAAATTTCTCTTGGTGAAAAAATGAGGACAGAAGGACCTGTATGTGTGGGCTCAGTGCTGAATCTGACCCAACTGCTGCAGTGCTGCAGAGATGTGTCATTGTGTTCTGCCTTTAAAAAAGAAATGCTCCTCTCCTACACTTGGCAGCACTTAGTCTGAGGGGCCGGTCATCTGTCATTACTGACCGACGAGAAATAGTGTCAGAGCACATTTCACTGTACAGACTCCGCGGTCTGTAAACGTACACTCGCAAAAATAAAGGTGTCAGAAAGGCTGCTTTGGAGCGACGCCAAGGCAGAACCACTACCACCTTTGGTTCCCTCAGCGACCTTTCTACCATTGTTGAAAATGACGTGAAGAACATTTTAAAGGTTTACAGTAATAATGTAAGGTGGACCTGAGCACCGTTGAGTGATATCTCTAAATCTCTAAAACTCCAGAACTAAAGCACAGTTGAGTAATCTTCAACTCTAGAACTCACTCAAGGATAGTTGACCTCTATAAAACCCTAGAACCTGAGCACAGTTGAGTAATCTTCAACTCTAGAACTCAAGGATAGTTGACTTCTATTAAACCCTAGAACCTGAGCACAGTTGAGTAATCTTCAACTCTAGAACCTGAGCACAGTTGAGTAATTTTAAACTCTAGAACTCAAGGACAGTTGACCTCTCTAAAACTCCAAAACTCAAGCACAGTTGAGTAACCTTAAACTCTAGAACTCAAGCACAGTTGAGTAATCTTAAACTCTAGAACTCAAGCACAGTTGAGTAACCTTAAACTCTAGAACTCAAGCACAGTTGAGTAATCTTAAACTCTAGAACTCAAGCACAGTTGAGTAATCTTAAACTCTAGAACTCAAGCACAGTTGAGTAACCTTAAACTCTAGAACTCAAGCACAGTTGAGTAATCTTAAACTCTAGAACTCAAGCCCAGTTAAACAATTTAAAAATCCAGCACTTGATCACAGTTGAGCAACCTTAAACTCTAGAACCTGAGCAGTTGAGTAATATTAAACTCTAGAATTCGAGCCCAGTTGACCTCTCTAAAACTTCAGAACTTGAGCACAGTTGAGTAATCTTCAAATCTAGAATGTGACCACATTTGAGTAATCTTAAACTCTAGAACTTGAGCACAGTTGAACTCTCTTAAAATCCAGAACTTGAGTATAGTTAAGTAATCTTAAACTCTAGAACTCAAGCACAGTTGTTCTCTCTAAAACTCTAGAACCTGAGCACAGGTGAGCCATCTTAAACTCTAGAAGTTGGGCATAGTTGACCTCTCTAAAACTCCAGAAATTGAGCACATTTGATTAGTCTTATACTCTAGAACTCAAGCACAGTTGAGTAATCTTAAACTCTAGAACTCAAGCAGAGATAAGTAATCTTAAATTGTAGAATCTGAGCCCAGTTAAGCAATTTAAAAATCCAGGACTTGAGCACAGTTGAGTAATCTTAAACTCTAGAACGTGGCGGCATTTAAGTAATCTTAAACTTTGGAACTCGAGCACAGGTAACATCTCTAAAACTCCAGAACTTGAGTACAGTTGAGTAATCTTAAACTCTAAAACTCAAGCACATTTGAGTAATCTTAAACACAGTTGATCTCTCTAAAACACCAGAACTTAAGCATAGGTAAGCAATCTTAAACTTTAGAATGTGACCACATTCGAGTAGACTTAAACTCTAAAACTCAAACTCTAAAACTCTAGAACTTGAGCACAGTTGAGTCATCTTAAACTCTAGAACTTAAGCGCAGTTGACCTCTCTAAAACCCTAGAACTTGAGCACAGTTGAGTCATCTTAAACTCTAGAATTTAAGCGCAGTTGACCTCTCTAAAACCCTAAATCTTGAGCACAGTTGAGTCATCTTAAACTCTAGAATTTAAGCACAGTTGACCTCTCTAAAACCCTAAAACTTGAGCACAGTTGAGTCATCTTAAACTGTAGAATTTAAGCACAGTTGACCTCTCTAAAACCCTAAATCTTGAGCACAGTTGAGCATTCTCACACTCTAGAACTTGGACACAGTTGAGCCATATCCAGCAGATGCCGCTTTAAGACCGAGCTAAGGTCAGATAAATGAACACGACCAGAAGTTTAGGTGATTTGCTCAACAGCATCGTCTGAACATGCTCTTAATTTTATCTCAGGATTAAGATGTGTTGTTGGAAACTTCAAATTCTACACTTCTTGCTGTAACCACACCTTTTCCATCCCCAGGAACAACACAGCTGTGAACTCCAAAGTGATTGCAGTGACGGTGAGACCAGAGCCCAGAGTGACTGAAGCCCAGCTGGAGATAGAGCTGGCTCACCTCGCCAATGTAAGTACTTCCTCTGGGCGTAAACTTAAACGTCATTAACTTAGTAGCACACGCTTTCACTTCATTAAGCACACTTCCCCTAAAAGCTAAAAAACAAAACCAGAACAGGAGGGAGCCGTCGCCTTATTTTCATCTTTCTTGCTGAATTGTTTGGCTCGCCTTGAGTCTGCGAGCGCAGCTTTGTCGACAAGAGCGAGTGTGCCGGGCGCGTGACGCAGGGATTTTATGATGCCATGCATGACAGTAAAGCAGGTCTAAAAGGAGAAAGAACAGTGACTCAACCAAAATGACAAATGGTGGCTTGCCTTGCCAAGTCCTAAAAATACGCCCCTCCGTTTGTGCTGTTTTTTATTAGCCTGTTAAGACGGGAAAGCGAACGCGCAGTGATTAACCCAAAAGAGGATCTTTTTATGGATCACATGCATAGTATTTATCCTCCTTTCCTTTATAAACGAGATTATCTCCTCCCCCAGTCGAAACGTCCGATAGCTCCCCTTGTAAATGACGTAAAAAGCAATCAAACCTTCATAGTTTAGAAAGCAGTGCCATTTAGCAAATTGGCCTTTTAAGCAGCAAGCTACAAAGGGATGGATTAGGATACAGTTCAAGGGAATTTCAAAGGAGATCCGGGAGTGGATTTATACCCCCCCCGACTCACTTTGGTCAACGGAGAGGACTCTCCACAATGGCAGCGCCATAAGTTTCAAGCGCCTTAATCAACAAACAAAAGGAAGTAATTGGTTCGATAATTAATTTGCCACCGCCTGCGGTCGCTCCTCGCCATAAAGTGTCAGGAGAGCGTTTGGGGGGGGGTGTGGTCAAATAATTACGCCGACAGCTCTCTTTACAAACCCGGCCTTTTCCACTTATCTCCCAGATAAAAGGGGCAGCGTGTGTGGCGAGATACAAGCCGCCAGAATGCCAGGCATTGGAAATTAGCATTGTTCAGATTACAATACTGCCTAGTAGGCGTTTAATCTCCCTGTCGCTGGGTCCTACAGAGGCCTCCTTTAGACAGTGCAAGTACATGATTCTGGAATTTAATGATGAAACAACGATGAAAGTCTACTTAATGAAGGCCATTATAAAAAAAAACAAATCTAATGCTTCCGTTTTTGCCTTGCAGGGGACGATGAACCCATTTTGCGTGCTGTGGGACAGCTCCATCATGTAAGTGAGATTTCATTTGTCTCCTTTTCCATACATGCGTATGTATGGATGCTGTTTATATAAAAGCATAGCGATTTGCGGTGGTTAGCCCCATGTGGTTTGCAGCTATTTTGACAGCATACAAATGATATGTATGACAATTTTTGAAGCATTGTATCCATGGTAACTTACAGCCACCACCTGAGACAGCTCACAGCCCTGGTGGGATCGTGTTATTTTAAGCGAATACCCTGAAATCAGAAGTGTTTCAGCTTGCCGCCTAATAAATTAGCACATTTCATCAAGTTCTGTCTATTCTTACACTCTCTTTTTACAGCGTGTACGCAATAGCAGAGGAGGCGTTTCTATTTGATAAGCAAAACAATCACTTTTGAAATATATGTATATATATATATATATATATATATATATATATATATATATATATATATATATATATATATATATATATACTGATTTTATGCTGAAAAAAAGTGATGCTTTGAGTTTACTTGATTTAAAGATGTGCATGCTGTCCAACAGTCAGAGACCACCTTTCATTTGTTCTATTTCCAGTCAAAATGATCATTAAGTACATGTTATTCATTTTCCAGAAGGATATTAGGTATAAGATAATCCACTTGCCTAATGAAGGTGGAAAGAAAGGAAAATAAGTGGGGAAAATGGGGCTCCTAACAACCACCTGGAAGACCTGGCAGACCCCAAAACCAACCCCATCAGATAAACAGCACTTAAAGCTCTCATCTCTGAGAGAGAGGAGAAAATCAAGCTGCTTCAGATCTGAAAACATCCACAGGTGTTTCTGTCCATCCTTCCACTGTGAGAAGACGACTCAGCGCTGTGGGTCTGAAAGGATGTGTAGCTGATCAAGAAGAACCTCACTGAGAAAAGGAGACGGACACATCAAACAAAGAAGCTGAACAATGGACTGACCACCCCAGAGTCCAGACCTCAACACCACTGAATGTGTTTGATTACTTCAGAAAATGATCAACCAGCTTCTAAGACTGAACTTTGGAGGTGTGTCTGCAGATTCTTTGAGGAACTGAAAGTGAGTCTCCTGAAAAGAATGGAAGCTGGAATGAAGGGAAAGAGTGACTCACTGACTCACAGCTGAGACTGGATTTAGCTGTTGAGGCTTCTGTTGAATTTGTGTTTTCTGCTTATTTCTGACACTAAAAAATGAACAACGTGTCCATAATGGCTGTTTTTAGTGGAAATTAAATGAGTGAAGGGTGGTCTCTGACTTCAGCACACAGCTGTATGTTTCAGTTTGTGCTCCTTTGGCAATCACTGTGTTGATGTGTGTGTGTGTGTGTGTGTGTGTGTGTGTGTGTGTGTGTGTGTGTGTCTGAATCGAGGAAATGTAGCTACTTTTTCCAGTGCAGATGTACGTGGGGCTAACTTCAGGTGGCTTGGCTTGAAAGTTGTTGCACTGATCTCGGATCAGCCCCCTTCAAATACTTGTATAAGATCCAAGTTTTGAGACTGAGCCAGTAAAGCAGCCCTACTGGTTCTAGATCACCATAAAAGGGCAACTTCCTCCAACTCTCCTCTTCATGCGGGTGCTTGAGGATAATTGCTGCAGGAGTGAGGAAGGTCCACGAGAGTGAAATTCAGATGAAAGCAACAAATCCCCAAACAGCGAGAGGCAATAGAGCCAGCTAAGGCTGAATTATTTCCCCTGCTCCAGAAAACGAGCGGAGGGGAACGCATTACAGCAGTGTATACTAATATTTGGTGGTTTTTAGTGGCCCTTTTAAGACGGGTACTGAGGTAAACGCAAAGAAAGGAGTGTTTCAGAGGGGTGAAACATGAATTACATCTTTTTTTAAGCAGTCTATTGTATAAGTAATGTAAAATTTACTGCATTTTTCCTTTGTGCTGCAAGTTGAAGTAAATGAGGTGATTTGCTCAAATCAAATCATGTTCTCTTTCTCTGACATGAGTTATTAGCAGAACAAATGAATATGTGGCACTAATCATATTCCTTCGCCTTAACGAGAGACTTTTTTCCAGGGAGGCAGACATGCTCAGGTTTTATAATAACGCATTCATAACATCAAAGATGCAGCGCGAGAGATAACAAGAACCAATCTCAGCGGTATCACTTTGTGTTGGGCGCAGACAGTCGGTGGTCCTCACCGTGGACTCTTTTGTTCCCTCCTTCATTCTGGCTTGGCTCAAACTCGCCCATTGTTCCCCAACCTGCAATTATTGGAGCACGCCGGTCTTGTGGCCCGATCCGGTATCGACAGGCTCTGTGGTAGACATGTTCTCTGGAGATATGCGTCAGGTTTGGGCCAGTCTGTTGCAGCTCTGGAGGCGAGCCACCTGCGATGCTAGAAATATTTTCAGCTCCATGGGCTCGTGTACTGAGAGATGCATGATTTCTGTTTAACCCTTAGCAGTCAAGGATGCTTTATACTGCTGAAATTTACTAGTGGTGAACCATGACTGTTAGAGCTAGGCTATAAATATCAAAACTTAATCAAAAATGAGAAACACAGCCTTCTTTTACAACATATCGCATTTCTGCAGGCCACCTTCTGGTACCTGGTGCACATTTTGGCAGCCCCAGATTAAACCCTGACATCTGAATCTAGCAAAAGACATTCCATGTGCTCTTTGAAACCTTTTTACAGACATTGATATATACACCGATGAGCCAAAACTTTATAAACACCTGCCTAATATGCTTGGTTCTCCTACACCAACAAAACGGCTCCAACCTGCTGTGACATGGACTCTACAGGACCTCTAAAGATGCCCTTTAAGTCCTGTTATGTGATGTTCTTTATTGGTCCTACAAGGGAAATTTGTCATTTTGCTGCCTAACTATGCCCAATCTAGGAGAAGCACAGCGTCACCAGCCGAGCAGCACCGCCTGGGGGAGTGGGGAGTTGAGGTATACAACCAGGTATACCTAGTCAGTCGTGGGATTTGATCCCACAACCTTCCAATTGATGGCTCACTTCTCCTGCCACCCGGTAGCCTAGTAGTAGGTTGCAAGGAACCTTCGTGGTTGGACTTGTTGTTGCAGCACATCCCATAGAAGCTCGATTTAAGCGATCATCTGGGGAATTTGGAGGACAGGACAACACCTTCAACCCTTCATCATGTTCTCTCAGTGTGGGAAAGCCCGTTATCCTGCTGAAAGAGGTCACATCGGGGAATACCACCGCCATGAAGGGGTGTACCTGCTCCATACGATATTTACATAGGTGGCACGTCAAATTGATGTCCGCATGAATGCCTGGACCCAGAGTTTCTCAGAAGAACATCGCCAGAGCATCACACTCCCTCCACCATTTTGTCTTCTTCCCATAGTGCATCCTGGTGCCATCACTTCTCCTGGTGAATGGTACACATGTACCCAGCCATCCTTGTGGTGTAAAAGAAAACGGGACCTATTGGACCAGGAAACCTTTTTCCTTTGCTCCAAGCTCCAGTCGTGGTGCTCACCTGTCCTTTGTATGCACTTTCAATGGTGGACAGCTTAGTTGAGGCTCTCTGACCAGTGTATGTGGCCCTGTACGCAGCAGGGAACCATCCTCAAAGATTGTGTATCAATGAGCCCAGCACCCTCCTACCAACATTATTCGCTTCATCTGTGAGAGGTCATATTGTTTTGGCTCATCGGCGTATGTCAGCCTGTATGTTTCAGTTTTACAGTGTTTCCTTTAGTAAAGAGTCCATTGAGCTGCTGCTGTGTTTACATTTCAGCTGACTGAAATCTGGTTAGACTACTGGCTGTATTGTCAGTGATGTATGTAGGACGTCCAGAATGTCTGGGGTGATGGATATTTTCTACACAGTTGGTCCCATTTACTGTAAATCAAAACATATCTAGTTGATTCCACTGTTAATTCCTAATTAGGGTGGTCAGTATAATATGTAAGGCCTTTTTTCCAGATCCTGAAGGCCTAACCAGTGAGACTGGAGAGTTTTCTGGTTCAAAATTCTGACAGGTTTTTATTTAGGCCAAAATTTAACCATGAAATTAATCAAGAATTACTGCAATATTTAAATGGAAATTCCACTATTTTGTTTCAAATTCTGCTTCAGAAAAGTCATTCAAAGAGTTTTCAGGTGAAATGGTGCATTTGTAGAGAAACTTAGACTCAGATGTCTTTACAGTGGTGGTGATGGGAACCAGGGGTTGCCATGACTACAACACAAATGTAGACATTTTATTTACTATCCAGAACCACCAGTGAACCTACACGAGTCTTCTGAGTTTATATGGATTGTTGATGATGGAAAATAGTGGAAAATCTGAAAATAATGAGGTTTCTTCGCCTCAGAGTGCCCTGCGTGTACCTCTCTGGTATTTTTTTCTAAAAATGTTTTAAATTGGTGGAAATTCTTCTTTCGACACAACAAGCATGATGGTACTATTAAGTAAAGTTTAAACTAAAATTAGACTTTTTTAATTCCAAAAAGTCATTGGTCTTTCTCTGAAGGACCAGAAGGCCCTGAGTGTTCCCCTCTGGTAATTACAAATTCACTGATATAGTGAGTTACACTATTAAATACATTTACATTAGATTTACATTCTGTATGGTCGATTTCTGCTTTGTTTCCATGACAAGAGACGACAAAATTATGGCAAAAATGTTTTCTGTGTCTGCTGTTGGTATGATCTAGAAGCAGCTAGCATTGTAATGTAAACAAATCAGGTCTCAGATCAGCGTAGAAGGGCAACTTCTATCTTCTCTAAGCACCTGATGGAAAGGTCCGATCTGTTGGTCACCTCAGTATTACCGTTATCTTGTCTATTGACTCCTCTTTGTCATGTTTTCCATAAAAACGTACACAGAAATGCAGATAGATAATGGGTTTCTATATCAGTATCTACTACACTGCTTTCTTTTTCATTTTCTCTATGAATTTTCCCCCTCCTCTGCCCCACTTTAGAAATTGAATATGGCTTCTATTTAATCTTAATAACTCCCAAATATGAAAATTGCACTGTGCTTCTGTGGCGCTACAAGCAA